TCCCACCCATTCCTGGATCAGACCCTCCGCACGACCAGAGTCCTTTCAAAGACGTGCCCATCCATTGTTCCCGTGCAACCGAAATCCATACGAAACGACATGTACAGACAATGCGATCCAATGGGAAGCCCCCCCCCCCCCGCTTCGTCTCCTCGTCCTGTTTCCTGGACCTCGATCGAGCAGACACAAGATGCCCGCATTCTCTAGCCCCACCCCAAAAGCAGCAGCCCGAGACCGAGACCACCCAGAACCGTCGCGACGACAGCAGTGACAGTGACCAACAGACCGGTGACAAGCACGTTCAGCGCCAGCACCAACGCGCTGAGGGCCAACAGCAGCGGGTTGACGCGCAGTAGCACAGGGCCTTTGTTTTCCGCGTTAGCGTTAGCGTCATGGCCAGGTTAGGAGAAGCAACATCGAGTTTTGCGAGCTCGAGTGGACCAAGGGAAATGTAGGACATACCGAGTCCGATGCGCTCAATGACGGCGCGCACCGTGCTGACAATCTCGTACACGACCTCGAGCACCCTCTCCGTCAGGCACTGCGCATCGCAAGACGCTCCTTCTTCCCCGTCGTCTTCCTGGCGCCGGAGACGACGACCTCTGTTGACGTTGCTCGTGGCGGAGCCGATGGCGGCGGTGATGGCTTCAAAGGCCGGGTTGATGACCGCCGCGAGGGCACTAACCTCTGCTTGGCTGGGGTCCTCGGACGCGTCGGCCAGTGATGCGTCTGTTTACGCAGGTTAGATTCTCATAGGGGCTTTCATCATACACTTTAGGGGAGGGGTTGTGGCGGCATACTGATGATCGTGGTCTGGCTGATGACTTCCTGACGCAGCGTCTCAATGACCGAGGCTTGCGACTCAAGCTGCCGCTACTCGGGGCTTGGCAAAGGGCGTCGCGAAGACGCTGGCCACCAAGCCCAGGGCTGCCACCAATGTCAATCTCATGGTGATCGATTTCCAAATCAAAGCTCAGTAGCAGATGAAAGCGAGTCTGAACTGCTTGTGGTTGAAAGCAGAGAACTAGCACGCAGGCCCGCGTTTTATGGTTGATGCTTGACCGAGACCAATCTCCTGGGCTCAGCGCACGTTCGTGGCCGATGATGGCATGCTCCCAGACCCTTGCAATGGAAAGCACTTCTTATGACGCAATGAAGGCAGATTCGCTCAGAACAGGAGGCGGAAACAGTCCGCGACGTTGCGTTGAGCAAGTACAAGAAAAACGGGACGGACAGGCTAGACGAGATGGACGATATCATCAAGGAATAGACTGAAGCTTTGTCCATCATTCAATTCAGACTACGTCGAAGGCGCAACCGAATTCTGGACACTATGAGCACTGATTCGTAGGTCACGGCGCTAATATCGACTGGGATTGCCACCTTGGGTCACATCGCGCCGTTGCCTGGCTGAGGATAGAGCTTCTCGGCGTGACCATTCAACGTCAGGGGCGGGCTTGATGATGTCGAAACCCAGGGCTCAGCACTGGTCTCAAGGTCTCGAACCCCTTGAAGGTTTGCTACAGCAGGCTTCAACGAGCCAAACCCCACCGGCAGACGACATGTAATCGACAGGAAAACGCCATCCAAGTTCGGTCAGAGTGGACAGAGGGATGGGGACAAGTTGCACCGTCCCCCGCGACGATCTGTCTGATGCCTTGATCGCCAGAGCACCACTTGGTTTAGTGATTTCTTGTCCAGTGGAGCCAACGGGTGTGAGCTGCGAAAGGGCCTCGCGAGAGACACCAAGTTTGAAATCTCAGCCCGATCATAGCAGCCTCCAGCATCTGACTCTGGCGCACATTTTCAGGCAAAGCTTTTGCTACGCGTCACTGCCTGCCACCAACATAGGCCCGCCAAAGAACGGGTACGGAAGTCTCATGTAGAGCAAGCTCTCGCGCTTGTAGCACTACAACGCTCCTACGTCAACACTATATTGGTCGACATTCAGAAAGGTCCGACTGCTTGACTAGCTTGTAGTACGGCAACGTCTGCTGCAACTGCTACTCGCCGGCCATTGACTAGTGTGATATTTGTGTGAATAGGATCGCTTTGGTAGAAAGAATTCTGCAACCAGGGAGTCTGTTTGACGCGGCAGGCATGCTCCTGCGTGCAATTTTTTGGTGATACCGATTGCTTCATGCCTAGGCCTGCTACCCTGATGGGATGCAATGATGCAGCGTCAGTCAAAAGAAATGTGTCAATCCGTTGTTGGCCGTGCCCGCAGGACAGACTAGGCTCGTTCAATTCGTGCTGCACCCTTCAGCTCGTTGGTTGCAATGAGATGGCGGTCAGGCATGCTGCAAGCAGACATGCCGTCAATTTGACCACGTCGCTGGTGGCCACCATGAAACGAAAAAAGCTAATGACAACTTCTCGTCACGCCAACGTCGGGTCACTCGACAAGCACCATCAGTATGGACCAGAATTTCAAGCATTGATCACCTAAAGGCCGTAAACAACCATGCAAGCTAAACTCGTAAAGAGATGCCTGGAAATCAATGGGGCCTCTTTGTGTCTCCAACTTCGTCCCGGAGCAACACAAGGGTATGGGCCCAGCAGCCGCCTTCATGTGGACCTGATCTCGGACGACCTACCAAGCAAATCGAGCAAGGCCACACACAGCCCGTGTACACACAGTTCGACTACAGAGATACCTGCGATGCTGCTCTCATCCGTCGGCGTCGGGTGGCATGCCCAAGCGCGTGGGATTGATTGCGATTAGCGGGTTCCCGCGGACCGATCCGCACATGGAGGGCGGGCGCAGATTGGCAGGCTTCGGTGGCTGCAAACCCAAACTGTCGGCGTCGGAGAGCGGGGCGGGTGAAAATAGCTGGGCCGGGGGCCTCCGAGCAGCTGGGGCGGCCGCATCCGGGCTGAGACAGCGTCACGGATGAGAGGTCTCAGACAAACGGCACGTAACCGGCCGGCAGTTATTACGTTAAGCGAAAGATGCGAGGGACGCCCGACCAGTGCGCTTTTTCGTGATTCTCGTGACAGCGAAAGAGAACGGGCAGGACAGCAAGTATGACAGGTTCGGGATCAGATGCCAACAGACTGAAGGGGTCGGTACGGATGCCGATCGAGTAACCAACCATCTTGTATCGTTGGAAAAAGGTATTGGAGGTGTAAATAAAATGTCGAGTCTTCGTTCCCTTGCGTCGATTAGCGTTGGTCATCGATTGCCTTTCAGGGAAAACTTTTCGTCGGGCTTGCATTAGTCCAAGGCATTTGCCCAGTCATAGCGGGCTCCCCATCGCCAATACCCCTAACAGCATAGCGTCTTCACGCCCTTCAGTCCTCGCGTCTTCGGCCTTTGAAGGATTGCCGCATGTGCCTGGTGGGTTGCTGCTCACTCATCCACACACCCATCCGCCCACGATCAACAGCCCAACGCCTAAACGCATCGGCAAAACGTCCCCTGGACGCCGCTAGCCTCTTGGCCGCGGCCGCCCCCCTCCCTCTCCACCCCCCCTCCTCGCAGTGCAGTGCATCGAAGAATAAATTTCAGGCCTGTCGCCCACCATGGCCCTCAAGAGACTTCTTTTCTTCCATCAACATCGTCTCAAGAGACTTCCACCGACGGACAAGCCGCGCTCAGGATCGTGGTCAAGCAACAGTGAAGACGTCGACTACTTGTCGCCCATGACATACAAGACCTGCAATGCAGAGGACAGCTGCCTAAAAAACCATTCCGGTTCGCCGGAACAGGCCACTGAGGTTTCGAGGGGAGGGACCGGGACTTCTTCGGGAGCGGGTGACAGCCATGATGGCTCCGACCACGGCCACGGCGGCCATGGTCATGACCCCGAGAAGGACCCGGCTCTCCGCTACGGAGACCTTCCTGGTACGGCAGCATTGACGAGGCTGGAGACGAAACTCGAGTTCCCCGAGGGCGGGCTGCAGGCCTGGCTCGTGGTGTTCGGTTCGTTCTGTGCCATGCTCTCCGTATTCGGACTCATCAACACGGCTGCCGTGTTTGAGTCGTACTTTTCTGAAAACCAACTGTCCGACTACACGGCGTCGGAGATTGGATGGATCTTCAGTCTATACCTGTTTGTTGTCTTCTTCGTCGGCATTCAGGTGGGGCCCGTCTTCGACAAGTACGGGCCTCGTCTCGTCGTCGCCATCGGTGGCGTGCTCATGGCGGGCAGTTTGCTGATTCTCAGCGTGTGCGAAGGTAGGAAGACCCACATTCCGTACATAGGGAAGGATCCAGGCTAAGTTGTATGTGTAGGTTACTACCAGATCATGCTCTCCTACTCGGTGATGGGAGGGCTCGGCGGTGCGCTCCTCAACACGCCAGCGTACGGAGCGATCGCTCATTTCTTCAACGTCAAGCGGGGCTTCGCCACCGGTATCGCGGCTACGGCCGGCTCGATCGGTGGTATCGTGTTTCCTGTCTTGCTGCAGAAGCTTCTTCCGAAGCTCGGATTCGGATGGACGGCGCGCATCCTAGGTTTCATCCTGCTGGGACTGGCGGTGCCTGCGAATCTGTTCATCCGTTCCCGCCTGCCTCCCAGGGACAAGCTGACGTCGGTGTGGCCCGATCTCAGTGTGTTCAAGGACATGAAGTTCACCATCTCGGCGGTGGGCATCTTCTTCATGGAGTGGGGGCTGTTTGTGCCGCTGACGTACATCGTGTCCTACGCGGCACGGTATTCGGCGTCGGGCAACGCGACAGACTCGTACACGCTGCTGTCGATCATGAACGCCGGGTCGGCCCTCGGCCGTTTCATCCCGGGTTTTGTGGCTGACAAGATCGGCCGGTTCAACGTCATCATCTTTACGATTGCCATGTGCATCGTCACGACTTTCGGACTGTGGTTGCCGGCGGGTGACTCGGAGCCGATGCTGATTGCGTTTGCTGTTCTCTTCGGATTCGCCAGCGGCAGCAACCTCGGGTTGATCCCCGTGTGCCTGGGACAGCTGTGTGACCCTCGTGACTACGGACGATTCCTGTCGACGGCCATGATGGTGGCCAGTTTCGGAACGTTGAGCAGCCTGCCTATTGCCGGCGCAATTCTGGAGGCAGGCGGGCGCGCCGATGTTGGATGGCGTGCCGTCATTGCCTTTGGCGGCCTGTCGTACGTCATTGCCCTTGGCTGCTATATGGCGGCGAGAGTCATGGCCGTTGGTTGGAGTCTCAAGAAGGTCTTCTAAGGGATAGTATCTCATCCCATCTGAGCCGAAGTCGTCTCCAGGCTCAGATGACTTGAACAGGCAGTTCGAATGGAGCAAAGGCTCACGGCCCAGCGGACGATTGACGCAGGCCAGACAATGGCGGTGGGGTGGTAAAGGGGATGGAAGCAAGTGTTTGGGAGGCAAACTGTTTCAACAGCAATAGACGCCAAAAATACAAAAAACGATCGAAGCTGAAATGTGGGAGCAAGTTCGCTGACGTGAATCCTGGGGAAACAGCCACCCAACGTGATGACCAAAAAGGAGACTCGTAGTGGGCGACCGGCGCGCCGTGGCGGGGCCGTTTGGCTGTTCCATGGCGGCGCGCATCACGCATCACGGCAGGCTCCACTGAAAAAAATTACCCCGCCACGTCCCATCATGACTGCCCCGCGATGACTGGCGATTACCCTCTCAATTTCTTCCTTCACAAGCATCAGGCCAC